CGCGGAGCGCGCCAGGGGCGGCACCGGAGGCGCCGCCGGAGGGACCCAGCGCCAGCGCGGAGCCAAGAAATCCGCGCGGAGCGCCAACAGTTTGTGTTTACGGCGTCTTTTCTTCTTCGAAAATAATGGCCGCATGGCCTCCCGCGATGCACTGACGATGCACCAGCGATGTCAGCGATGCATCGGCGCCGTCGGCGTGGCGAAATCCGGGCTCCGCACCGAGCCGCATCGCCGAGCCGCATCGCCGATGCATCGGCGATGCGGCGCGATCCTCCGACCCCATCTACTCGGACCCCATTTGGGAGGCCTAGAGTGGTCTGGCAAATACTGGCCAACCTCGTTCGAAAAACGCCGACTTGGCCCTCAAAGGCCTTTGCATCCTGACCGCACATCCTTATGATACGGGTGATTGTAGTTGAGTATCGTTCAATCGATCCCCACCCCCAGCGGTGTGGCCTGGGCCCCAATGGCCGATTTCCCCCCCCCCAGATGAAGATATGGGCCGTTCCCTTCGGGCTTCGAGGGGTGTAGCCCCAACTGGGGTGGCAATCTGGTGGGGGCCTCGAAGGGGATGGGGACGGGGCTGGGGATCGGTTAAACGATACCGAGTAGTATAGGGGGCAAACAGACCTACCTCGCTTTTGACCACCCTCGCTTCCAAGAGATACCAAGCGATGCCAAACTGCGGCCTGTACTGGTGAGGCCGCCTGACGAGGAGGCGCGTGGCATGACTCGGTTTTGCCTGGAAGCGAAAGCGGGGTAGGCAACTCACGCTCTGATAGTAGCCGCAGAGGGGCCCCGGCGCGCCTCACAGGCGCCGTCGCCCGAGCGCCGTGCCGGGGAGGGCGCCGCGAGGCCGCGCGCCCGGCGCGCCCGGAGGCCGCGGGCCGCGGGGGCCCGCCGGGGGGGGCGGCGGCGCGAGGGCGGAAGGGCAGAGGGCACGGCACGGCCCCCCGGGAGCGCTGGGGCGGTAGCAGTCGTAGTAGTAGTAGTAGTAGTAGTAGTAGTAGTAGTAGTAGTAGTAGTAGTAGTAGTAGTAGTAGTAGTAGTAGGAGGAGGAGGAGGAGGAGGAGGAGGAGGAGGAGGAGGGCGCGAGGCGCGGGTGTCCCTCGGCGCCGCAGGGGCCCCAGGCCCCGTCGCGCTGTGCCAAAATCATGGCGGAAGGCTTTTCGCCCTCTCCAGCCTCAGAGGGGCCCGTCCCGAGAGCCTCGGGGCCGTGGAAGGACAGCTCAGGATGAACAACTGGTCCCCGGGAAGGGGTCCAGACCTCATGCGTGGGGGTCGACGTCGCGAAAGAATCACTCCCCCCGCCCCCCCGCCGCTCTCTGGTGACACAACCTTCGGCGCAGGCGGTGTCCAGGAATCCGAGCAGCCTCCGCACATATATATATATATATATATATATATATATATATATAGGTATATCTCTCTACACACATGTTCCATCTCGATTATTTTTAGAAGCAGAACCCCTGGTAAGGGTTGGAGTTAAGACTATGTGGCGTGAAGCTTGTCTCATCAGCATCATCATCATCATCATCATCATCATCATCATCATCATCATCATCGTCATCATCATCAGCATCAGCATCAGCATCATCATCATCATCATCAGCATCGTCGCGAAAGAATCACTCCCCCCGCCCCCCCGCCGCTCTCTGGTGACACAACCTTCGGCGCAGGCGGTGTCCAGGAATCCGAGCAGCCTCCGCACATATATATATATATATATATATATATATATATATATAGGTATATCTCTCTACACACATGTTCCATCTCGATTATTTTTAGAAGCAGAACCCCTGGTAAGGGTTGGAGTTAAGACTATGTGGCGTGAAGCTTGTCTCATCAGCATCATCATCATCATCATCATCATCATCATCATCATCATCATCATCGTCATCATCATCAGCATCAGCATCAGCATCATCATCATCATCATCAGCATCAGCATCAGCATCATCATCATCATCATCATCATCATCATCATCATTATCATCATCATCATCATCATCATCATCATCATCATCAT